TTTAATGTAGATTGATGATAATATTTAATAATTACTATGATTGTAATAATAACTTATGTATAGTATTATATTAATATTTAATATAGTACGATATTCTAATTACAAAAAGCTAAAATTTATGAACTGATACATAGTATCACTAGTAGCCAGCAGGTTCCTTATTACGTAATACATACGACAAAAATATCAATAATTAATAATTTATTCAATCTTTATTCTTTATTTATTATTGTTACTTGGATAATATTTTAAAATTTAAATTATCTTTTTGATAGAGAATATAAAACATTTGCCACCTGTCTGGTTTAAAATCGAAATGAACGTAACAGGGTCCAATGAACTTATCTTTAAGATTATGATTGTGAGAGTTCAGATTTATACAAATGAATAGATCACGTCATGACGTAGTCAATTGTGTCCATTCTCTTTTTTGTACGTCGAGCAACAGTGCAGTGATTTAAAATCGAAACGAACGTAACAGGGTCCAATGAATAAACCGTACATGTTAGCTGTCGTATAATCGTTAATTTTATTACTTTAGCTAACAAGGACGAGTCATAACTTTCAGCTTTTGGTCAAGAATACGTTTTTTCGTTAATAGAATAATTAATGTAAACGATGAAAAAATTCCTATCATGAATAATACACGAGTATCAATAAAATAATTTAATTTACTTATCAAGTTAGTGTACTTACAATACAATTTTATGATATTATAAATAAACTGTTGTGAACTTGTGAACGTAATAATATTATCTTGTTTATAGTATTCGAAGACGGGAAAAAAAAAAATGTTTTTTTGTAGTCGAGACTTAATTCCATACAAATACGAGTAAGCAAATTTAAATATATTTTGAACAATGTTTATAATTAGTACACTCCCTATTTCAAATTAAATTGCTATCGCATTTGTTTGATAAAGACCACAAACGAAAATTAATACACGAATCATTGGTTGTTTTAAAGTTTATTCATTAAAATACATAATAATTATTATCACGTATTAACATTTGTATTTATGACGTATTGGAGCGCGATTTTCTTGTATGGAAATGCCAAATGGACGTATCTTGTATAAGATGTCATTTCAGTTCAATGACAATGACTGTTGTACTTATATTCTGTTGTAGGTAATGAGTAATAACTAAAATAATGTGTACGAGAACGATGTAGAATATTTTTATTCATTGCCTAATTGCCCGATAAACTGTAGAACTATTCACTACATTAACTATACTTATACCAGTTACACCCATGTGATTGTAGTTATGAAATTCGCGAGCATCGTGTAACAGGATCTCATGTGTTACGCGCCACTCTGGTCATGTGGACGGCCGTCTGCCTATACCGTTTAGTTTCATAGGTATGATAATTTATTTATAAATAATCTATTTACATATAAACATTTCAACTTTATCTTTATTATTTTATATCTTATGCGGTTCGAGAGTAAGTGGTAATCATCATTAATTTGACGAACATTGCTCGTCGATACTTTATATCATGATTCAAGATATAAACGAAGATATACTATTTACTACTTTTAGTAAATAGTAATATCTTAATTTTTTAATCGTGACAGTGTTCCCCTATCATATTTTATTAGACAATCGAATAAATATACAAATAAACTGATTAAACTCAAGTTAATTATCTTGCGTTTCAGTTTTGTACTTTTATCTTTAACCATTTTTTTCTTAGACATATTATTCAAAATAATAATAATTTATTTACGAACTTAAATGAATATTATTTTTAATGAGACTTATTTTACATACGAATGTATGATATAATATTAGTGGACGTAACTATTTTAATGAGGTACATTTTATAACTAAAAACCATGGACTCCAGTTAATAAAATATTTATTTACATAAACATTTAATTTAATATGTTTATGAATGCGGAACAAAAGTGAGAACATTTATAAAACGGTAAAATTCTCTTTGTGGGATGTCCATTGCCCAATAACAATATTATTAATTTTACAAGCTTTAAATAGTATATAATAATGTATTAAAAAACAAAAATAAAAAATAAAATATTCCTAATATAATATACATATATATATATTACACGAGTATATTATAAGTAAAAAATAATGAAATGTAGTGCAATATTGTTGCAACCATGGGACTCTTTTCTAGATATTTTTAGTAGTTTTTTTTTTTTTTTATTTTAGGGTTTTTATAGTCCTTCTGGATTTAACAATTAATTTTGATAACAGTAAATTAAGCTTAAATCGATATTGATATTATTATTTGTGTTGATAAAAATGTTATCATCTGAAAATTAATACTACTTATATTATAAACTCTAAACTAAACTATAAATAATATTTTCCCAATACCCACCATCACTTTTTAGCTGTGAGAAATTGTTTTCACAAAAATCCTCTCACGATGCGCGTATTGATTGGACATATGATTTAAGTAGATATAACTTATTGAAAAATAATGTTCAGTTTTCTTCGTTGAACGATTATCTTAATGATACCGTAAAATAAATTGATTCAGTTTTAATCAGTTAAGTCAGTATTTGAAATAATGGAAATTTTTATACGTTTTATGAGTTGTCATTTATAAATTTAATATTTTATTTTGTAAAATATATGATTTCTCAATTATACAATATTATATTTTAGTTATACTTCTATAATTTATTGATTATAATATTACAAACACACTGAAATGAATTGACCTTGTTTATGTAATCATAAAATGTAATTGTCGTTGTTGAACGATTATCTTCGAATATTGATTGGATATTACAATTATTTAATTTAAAAATGTGATAGTAGTTCTTATATTAGCGTAAACAGTAAATACTAATAAATAAGGAACGGATTTATAAGTAATACAAATAAAAAAAATATATTCATAAGTATGAAAATATAATTTATAAAATATGTGGGAAAAAAATATAAAAAAATATGCTATGAATAAAATTTTTTTACTTTTAAAATGTTAAATACAAATGTATCATTACAAATTACGTTCTATACTATGCACGCACGATTATTTCATTCAAGATGATAATGTTTATTTTATAAAAATCAATTATTTCATTAGTTTTTTTAGGTTCGTTATGTTTATTAAATATGTGCACCTTTAGACTATTTTTGATAAAAATATCGATACCTACGTTAATTTAAATAATATTACTGAGTATGATTTCTTGGACTTTTAATTGACCATAAACATAAACTGTAAATAAATATGTTATATTATATAATATATTCTAGAAATTTAATATTCTTTTTTTTAATTAACCTTGTTTTTGTACACGAATTATTATTTAATTTATGTATTTTAACACTAAATAAATTCATTAAGTAAATCTAGAAGAATAAACATTCCGAAATAATTTATTGAAAAAAAGTTTTGATTAAATATATATTTCTATAATCATTCTATATTTTTATAATCATATTAAATATGATTTAACCTTATTTAGTTTCATAAAAACGTTGTAGTAAAGTGTGATAAATATAATAGTTCAAATATATTTTATTAGGTATTTAATTAGTTTTGTATAAATATTTGTTCATCGAATTAATTTAATGATTTTTGTTAATTTTAAGTATGTTGATAACAATATGATATATACCTAATATAATTAGGTATAAATGTACGATAAGTTAAAATGTCTATACTGTAGACAATTCAACATATTTATTTGTACAAAATAATGCATTAATATTGTCTGTAGATAAATTTAATTCAAATAACAAACTTAATAAATGCAATATATAACTACTGACCTTTCCAGAAGTTTTGGTTCATTAAAATAATAAAGAAATTCTTTTATTATTATTTCATTTAAAATGTGAAAAATTAAGAATACTAACTAATCGATATTTTACTACGTCATTAGTATAATATATTAGATAATTATAACAATTTATTTATATACGTATTTCATACAAACTTTTTATAAATTTGTAATAACATAATGTTTTGTACTATTTATTTTTATAATTTTCAAAATAGATATATGGCTACATAGGAGATATTTTTTAATACAATTTTATATTGTAACTATATGACATATTTTTAATCACCTTAATACTTTCTAGTTCAAATTTCGAATATATATCATATAAACACATCTAATAATTATTATAACCATAGTTATTTATAATATAGTTGGACATACCTAGTTATAGTTTTGACTATTACAGTGAAGTTAACAATTAATAATGTGATTTTATTTCTGGGAGTTCGAGTATTAGTATAGTATATTATAACTACAGCTAATATTATTTGAATCCTCACAGACAGAGATATTTCAATCGACTATCGGACCGTTAAAAATCAAATATTACTATTATTTTAAATTGAGTTTTTTGATTTTTGGTAAATATTTTTTTGTAAAACTGTTATAAAGTAAAATGTAAAATATTTAATACATAATTTATTTACGTAGTTGTATCAAGCTAACAAATACGAAATTATTTATTAAGTAAAATAATTTTGTCATGAAAATAATCTAAAAAGTACATCTCTTTAACTGCTCGTCACTCGTTACGTCGCCGTTCGTAGTTCACGTATCATCATAATATAGAACTATATAAGGTTTAAAAAATATTGAAAAGTTCTTAGGTAAATTTTAAATTATATAATGAAGAACTTTCAATACCAAATTTTCTTTGAAATTTCTCTTCGAAACATATATTTATAATAACGAGGATTCGTATACGTGATGAGGAATTTTATGTCCTAGTATACATCAAACTGGTCGTAGAATCGGATCACATTGCGGCGCGAAGACAATTTATTAACAATACAAATCTCATGATGATGTTATATTTTTATCATGAGCTCGTAATACTATTAGATTTAATAATCAATTACGTTGTGTGCGCGACGATCGTTATGTCAATCATTATGAGTTTGTGATAAAACGGAAAAATAACAACTTAAAATGATCGATCGGGCGGGGTGATGCGATTTCTCGTCTTCGTCGATCATTTACGACGTGTCCACGTGATTAACTGTCGCATACCTTCGGCACTATATCATCCAAGTTATTAACCACCACTGCAGTAGTCCAGCGTTTTTCGACCGGCCGTCGGAAAACTCGCATCGTATAACCATAGTGAACTTATGTTGATCAATTCACAGTATTTGCTCAAGTTTTGACGACTCAGTTACAGTTCGTATACTCAGATTGTGGTGGGTGCTTAATTTTTCATTAATGACCACTGATGAATCAAATTTCCGGTAGTTGTATTTGCAGTATTTACCGGTATACCTGTTGTTATAACAACAAAAAATATGGACGTTGGGTTCATTTTTATAACTGCGGTCATATTATTCGAGTTTTGCGTCCACTTCCCTGTGTCTTCCACTACCAGCATCTCTAATAAATCTTCCATCGAACAATTAATAGAATTTATCATCAAAAACTCAGAAAATGGCGCCAATAAAACTACAAATTTCAACATTGAAAATTTCACGGATATCGCTAAAAATAATTTTACAGATATCGTTATTGATAACTCTACAAAATTTACTATAGGAAACTTTACAAAATTCGCTATTAATAATTCCACAAAAATAATCTTCGACAATTCTACCGTCCCTAAACTGACTGGACCGAACATATGCATGTTTATCAAAAAGTAAGTGATGTACTATTCAAAAACTCGACTTAGTCGAAATTAATTTTAAAAAAATTAAAATTTCTTAAGTTAAATACATAAATAAGAACAATAACAAAAAAATCATAATTACTAGTGAAATATTATTATTATTATTTTTTAATTTAAATCGTAACTTGTATCGTTTACAAAACCTATTTTCTGTTAAATCAACTTTATATAAAATAATATTTTATTACAATAGATATAATTGCATCTCTTAGTAACTTTTGTAATTATTCCGAATTTATTGAAAATTGAGCATAAAAACATATTATTATTATTTTTAGAATTTATTAGATTTTAAATATTAAAATTTAAATAACTTTCATTAATTTAAAATTGTAACATAATTTACTTTAATATTTGATAATCATAACAATGTTTTTGAAATTTTTTTATCAATTTTAAATATTAGAAGACAAAATAATTAAAAATTTATAATTTTTAGTTACGTTTCAAAACAATTAGTCACGAAATATGAAATCCGTTCGTCCAAAATTCCATATTTCTGTTTCAAAAATTTAAAATTTGTATGTTATTTTGTAACTGAAACTGCAATTCCGATTCAAACTGAAACCGTAAGTCCTGATTTATATTGTTATTTATTAAAATTAACTTATGCGTTATAGTATTTGAATGTGTTAGATTAAATAATACTTATTTTAATTATAACGGTAATAAATAATAACATATTTCCATACTACAACTATGTATTATGATTTTAGTTATTATTAGTTATAACTATTATAAGCTATAAAATACTTTATATTCTTAAGTTATCTCTGTTTATAAGTCATACTGTACTAGATATTGATAATATTTAATCATTTTATATAAAGTTGAAAAGACTACAGAGTATATTTATAAATTATACACTGTATTCAAAATTATAACCATTTTAGTTCAAATATTTCGTTAAAACATTTTAATTCTATGTTACATCATCTAAAATACTTTAAAAATCTATTATAGTTTAAATATAATATTGATTTTAATACATTTTAAGATTTTGATTAATACATTATCTAATGGATTACATTATTATACTTAATTTATTATTATTTTTGTTTTATTATATTTTTTTATGTTGTATCAATGATCAAATTTTTTATTAAAAGTCAATACACCAATGCTGGGCAGGTTAACTAATTTTTCAATTTAAAAATAATATAGAACATTGGATAAATTAATTTTAAATCTAAAAGTTATATGTTTATTTAAAGCTGAAATTTAATGAAAGTTTATGTAGAAAAACAAAAATATATAGAAAAAATAATACATACAAAATGATTATTCAAAAATATTTAATAGGTAATAGAAAGGAAGGCATACAGTGTTAGAACTGTAACAACATAAGTTATTATTTAAGTTAATTTTCTGTTAGTAAATTATTTAAAAGATCTCGGAATCTTTTGTCTTTTTAAATGCCAAACTCAATTATCAATGTTATTGTTGAGAGAACTGAAATTAATTTATATGTGTTTGTTAATAATTTTTATAGATATTTATATAAATTTGTATTTGTATACGTAATATTGATCCACATCTACGTAAATTCAGAAATAATACATTCAAAAACTCTACTTTGGCAATTTACATGTTGAGTATTTGCAATGCATATAATATGGTATAAAAAATATTTCTTATTATTTTACTTTTTTAATAAACAAAAATTAGTTTTTAATTAAAAAAAAAAAAAAATGTATTATTAGACTGACAAGACAAAAATAAAGTTTAACTCTTAATTACATTTAAAACATTGTAACTCGTTATGTAACAGTTGAAAGTAGGTAACTTACTTAAAATATTTAACTAGTTAATGCAGAGCATTATCATACAATGACTATTATTTTGTTATATTAAATAATAAAAAAATATTTTCTTATGTTTAATTTTACAATTAATATAAAATATACAATGTATCATAACATGATAACCAAAATAAATTATAACATAGTTTTAGCTAGGTATTTGTGCAAATTACGAAATAATGTTATTATAAGAGTTAATTTAAGAACGTTAACCATGTATTATTATTTATTAGTGTATTGTCATCGTTCTGATTACAATAAACACTATGTTTTGAAATAAAAACTAACAAGTATGCAAGTGATTTTAATTACTTATATAATTAATACACTTTTAATACTTAAATTAAAATTAAATATTATTTAATAATGCATTTGCTTTGGACGTAACTTAAAAAAAAATCAATGGTACGACAAAACAAAGTATAACTATACAATTATTATTAGGCAGATGATCAGTATAGTTAACGTACCACAATAAATAACCAGTAAAAGTGTGTGCGTAGTATTTTTATGAGATTATGATAATTTTATACAGATGTGCACAAAGTTAACCACATTTTTTGTGGTTTTTCGAAATCGTACTAAAAAACCTAATGTAAGTTTTGAAAAAAGGAATATATGTAATACATTTTTTATCGATTAAGTATTTTCACTATTCTAAATAAGTGTTAAAATTTCATATTATAATATGCATATTATTGTATATACAGAGATATCTTATAGAAGCTATAAAACATTATGATCTAATAAATCTATTGTTTAGTTAGAAAACAACTTTGAAATCATCAATACATGCTGTAAAGACTACGAAAAAACACAAAATGGAACAAGATGTCGTCCTGTCTGTAGAGATCCCTGTGTATGGGGCACATGTATTTCACCGAATGTGTGTAGTTGTGATAAATATTACGATGGACCGTCTTGTCGTATACGTATAGGTACGTTGGTTTTATAAAAATTAAACATTTTTATTAAAAAAAAAAGTAGTTTTATAAATAATTCACTTTTTTATACTTAAGGTTGTCCATTGGGAAAATACGGATTTGATTGCACGCAAACGTGTCAGTGTCAAAATAATGCTACATGCAATTATACAAATGGTAGGTGTACAATGTATTATAATTCGATACAATCAATATGACTATATTATTTTTCAGAACTATTGAATTTTAATTTTTTTAAATTTTATTAATATTCAAAAAATATAATTTTTTGATTCAAGCTTTGAGAATTTTAAATATTTAAGGAGAGGCTAAGTGACAAGCTTTAGGCAACTAATCTATCTAGATTCTCTAGATGAAGACGATAGTTGAAGATTGAGTTAACACATTGGTAAAGCTACATAAAATTGGAAAAAGTTTGGGCATAATGTTTAACTAAAGGAGGAAAATTTAAATTAAAGCAAATAAAAGAGGGGATAGTAAAGTACCTCGAGAAATACCTGATTTTTGAGTAAACATTTATCAGTTATCACTGTTGATGATGAACTATAGATCAATATATAAACGAATCTATTTGTTATATTATATCACATAGGATAATAACCAGAAGACCAAAGGTCGCTTATCTGTGTTAATTGAGTCGAGAGTTTTTATCAGGATTGATTGATCTATTCGATAAGTTTTTTCTAAATGTTTTATAGAAATCAGTAAATTAAACTTTATAGAAAATAAATTTTGAGTATATATTCCTATTTCCATTGATTTTTGATAGTTTTTCTAATGATTATTATTAAAGTACGAGGAATTAGAATCACTAAAAACCATATTAAAAATTTCTTCACTATAAATTATGTCGTTTAAAAATAAAAAAAAAAACAAATGAATCGTAAAACCTACATTTATATATTCATAACACAGCTTTGAATCTTATATAAATATTACATTAACAATTTTTACTATGACATTAAACCGTTGAAACATATTTATAGGTAATTGTTCTTGTCAGCAAGGATATTGGGGAAAATATTGTGAAAATCTATGTCCATCTGGATATTACGGTCATAAATGCCAAAACGTATGTAAATGTCAAGATAATGCAAAATGTGATCCAGTAAACGGTATAATACTATTTATTTTTGTAGTATCTATTTAATAATGTACATATTTTTTTCGATAAAAATTATAACAAATAGCAATATTATAAGTACTTATAGAAAGATATTTTTCAGGTGTTTGTTACTGTTCACTAGGATACACAGGAATTAATTGTAAAGTAAAATGTCCACCAGGATTTTATGGTTATAAATGTCAAAATGAATGTAAATATCAAAATGGCACAAAATGCGATATAGTTAATGGTATACAACATATTATATTGATAAATTATAATTTGTAATTTAAATATTTTAATTAAACTAAGCTCAGCTAAGTAATCAATTATTATTGATTAATTACATTGATTTTTTTTAGGTGATTGTACTTGTCTAACAGGATATGAAGAACACAATGTCGAATTAAATAAATGCGATTGCAAAAGTGGTACATTATATAATTCAGCAAATGGTATAAATAATTTAAATTAATAATATTAGCATTTAAGGACACTAGCAGAAATACAAAGTTAATTGTTTGAAAGAATCTAGTTTTGTAATTTTAAATTTTAAAATGACGAATATTTTACTATTATACATACATAATTTAATTTAAAAGAAAATTAAGTAGACTGCTTACTTTGTGATTTTTTTTATGATACAATTTACAATAAATCGAAACTTTTATTTCAATCTAAACGTGATGTATTTTCCAGAAACTTGTTCCTGCCAACCAGAGCATGTAAGAAATAATTACAAGCATACTTGTCCCCAGGGTTATTATGGAAAAAATTGTCAAAATATATGTAAATGTCAAAATGGTGCCAAATGTGATGCAGTAAACGGTACAATTAATCATTCAAAACATTTTGGACTATATTTTAATAAAGTTATTTTCTAGGCGACTGTCATTGTACTCCAGGATATACTGGAAAATATTGCTCGTCAAATTGCCCATCGGGATTCTATGGCTATAAATGTCAAAACGAATGTAAATGTCAAAACGGTGCCTTATGTGATCCAGTCATTGGTACGGTGTATTTTATCAAAGTTTTAGTGTTAATCAAATATCATGATTAAATAAGAACGCGAAATTTAAAATTATTTTAATTGAGTTTAACGATTATTATTATCATTAAGATAAATGTATACCACGAATTTACATGTGGATGCATGCAAATAAAAATATCAAACACAAATAGTACGAAATGCTATTTTATTCGATGATTTTTTCGTCATAACACAATTATTTACATTTACACGACGTATTATTATTAATTTATTTGTTTAAAGGATCTTGTACATGTCCATCGGGTCTATCGGGAAAGAACTGTCTTATTGGGAATAAATCCAGAATCGACGGGGAAAATAATAAGACGGTGTGTGATTGTAATTGGCACAAATATGACTACTGCGAACCATTAACCGGCACATGCAAATGCAAACAACCCATCAACGGTTGTATTGATATATTTTGCATTAATGTATAATTTGTATTTTCACGATATAACAGGTCGGATACTGCAGTGCGTGTCCGCATGGGGTAAATTGAATAAAACTGGTGTAGGTACTCTTCAAATATATTCTAGAAATATTATTATTCCTACGTGACGAAATGAAATTCAAATACTAAGGTGTGACATTCGAAACGGAATGATTTATGTTTAAAGGTGTTTTCATTATTTGACAGAAAAAAAATTCAAATTTGTGTGATATATTAATAAATCATAAAATATGATCGCATAATTTCAAACTAGATGAATGCAAATTTTTTTTAAATCTTACTTAGGGGATAAAAATAACGTGTTGGGTAGTCGGAGTAATATTTTATAATAAAAACTATTTATAAAATAGATTAAAATAATATCCAATGATAAAAATTAGTCATAATATTACGAGGTTTTTCATTTATCGATAACCATATATTTTATTATGTTTATACGAAATAGGAACTTGTGTCTGCAAACCCGGTTTGGTCGGAAACGAATGTGAGAAAACGTGTCCACCAGGTACGTACGGTTTGAATTGCAATTCAACTTGTAGATGTCATAAAAATGCAAAATGTCGAGAGTCCGATGGAATTTGTTTGTGTGAGCCCGGATTTTATGGACCTACGTGCTCGGAAGGTTAGTTAAACATTATAATAATTCTATAATTTTATTTCAATGTTAATAACAGCAATACGCATAGACAGATTTTTGAATGAATTTACACTAAGACACTTTCTTGCGATGTAGACACTTATATGTGTACTCAAATAATCATATGATATCGTAATAAATAATAATTATAGAACAGTTGCAAATAAAATGATTTTTTTTTTTTTATTTTAAATACTTACACCATTTAGATAAAAAGAAAAAACTGACTTTAATGCTAAAAGTATTTTTTTAGGCTAACACCAATAGATAGCGTACTCGGGTATGTAAAACAAAGTATTTTATTCAACAAAAAAATATTATAACCACTGGCTTGTATGTGGGGAATAAAAAAAAAAACATTGTTCCAATCCATCATAATATTTAAAGTATACACGTATACCTACTTATTGATATTAATCATCTGTATTTTTGCAATTTAATTTGGCTATTATAATATTAAAATTATAGTATTATGTTGAATACGATTTGTAAAAAGAAAAACATAGTTATAATATTAATTTTTTATTAGTGGATTGAGAAGTTTTACAATTTATGAAATTGAGAAAAGTTGGTACAAATTAAATTACACTAACGATAAATACATTGAGATGAACGATTTTATTAAAAGTGAATACATTCGTATAGAATGAGGGTGGGTATTATGAATTAATGTAGTAGGTGAAATCGGTAGGAATGTAATTAATAATACATAGGTACTCAAAAGTCACAATAATATGTTATACATGTCTAATTTTTTTTATTTAATAAAATATCTTAAATGGATTTGTTGATTTGTGTGTAACGATATACTCAAATTATTTATTTTTAAAGTTTTTACTACTTTTTAACTAACAGATTCTATTTTTAAATTAATTTTTATACTTCTATCAATAATCATCTTTAATAAAATTGAAATATTATAGTTTGTCTTAGAACAGAACTACACTATATGAATACTCTTGATTCTTAATTTATCACCTAATATTTTATATTTTCATGCCAATTATATTTGTTTAGTATATCACTTAGCCTTACCAGCTCACGTTGTAGTTGCAAATATAAATTGATTAAAAACCATATTTATATCATTATTACTAAAGACCAAATTTCACATAAAATGCATGTTGCAATTTTCAATATCATATTAATTAAATCAATGAGTGTCCACAAATTATTAATTGATCGATTAAAAATCAAAATTTTATACTGCATATTTTTGTATATTCTGACGTTAGTGTATATTTTGTATATTTAAAAAAAAAAAACCGTACAAATATACACCTAACTATCTAAAATGGGTGTTGAGCAAAAAATAGAAACATATTATAGGTACGTTTATATAATAGGTATCAAATATTTTACGACTCAAAAAATATTCGGATGCTAAAAATAAGTTACTTAACTTCTATTAGGTTGGTTATACGAGTTTTATAGCGGAAACGTGTCTACCTATTTTATCAATATTAATTGTTATACTTTGATAACTTATTGTTTTTCTAATTAACATACTATATTAAATCGTACCTTTTTTTTATTTATATCATAAACGTATTTACTATTTAATTTTAATAAAATATTTTTTACAATGTATTACCTAATGATTAAAAATTAAATTAAAATTTAACAAATTACATTTTTGTATTGCATATTTGCTATTTTATACATCTTAAAGGTACTTTTTATTTATTAAAAATTAAATAAAATTAATAAATTATTATCATTGCAAAATTAATATCAAATATAAAATTTAATAAAAATATTTTATTTTGCATGTTATGTATTTTTTTCTTGCATATTTTGACTTTTTTAATGCACGTTCGCATGTATATTTTACAATTTAAAATGCATACATATCCGGTTTTTAATTAATACATTGATAATCCTATAATTAAAAATAATGATGGTATTATTTTAATATAAGTAGTACCTAATAAGAATAAGTAATAACTAATAAGTATTCTGTTACGCGAATATAAATACAGTTAAGCTTACAAATTGTAATTATAAATTACAAATTTAGTTAAATAATACTTGAACTCTCTGTACTTTTAAAAACTTTTAATAGATTTACTTATGATTGGAGATTTAGATTATTTTTAGAATTTAATATTTTGATAATACCTTATAAAATACACATACCTAGATACCTAACGATTAATCAATAATTTATATAATTTTAGCTGCAAAACATTATATTTCTCAAAATGAAAATTTAATTATATGCCTAATATTTATTTTACTTTAAACGATTTACAAGAAAAAAATAATTATTTTTTCATTATATGATTGTATATTTGAAAGTTAAAAAAATAATTGTCGTTTCATTCAAAAATTTATTTATAAGGATATAAATACTATTTATATGTATTATTAAAATATAAGATTAAGATTTATTCAACTAGATTTTAATTGGTTGTTTATTTCGCCTTCATGTATTTAAGTATATATTATACATTGTATAACGGTATATAAATATTTTTTTTGAACAAAACCATTAGAATTAAAATAATAAACATATGGTTTATATTGTTTTATTTTTTTGTTTGAAATCATACATTAAGTTTTTAAAGCAATATCGTTATAACTTGACATATGTCAAAAACGAACTTACTGCATTTCACTCAAGTTTTCCATAATAAATGAAAATCAGAGGAAAAATACAGTTTATGTTTGATAATGAATTTAATTGTACTATTATACTGGTTTTCAATTTAAACTTTTTTTTTCTGATGTATAATATTGTAATTATTATATTGAACTTTCGTTATCATTTGTATCATTTATTTGCAGCTACAAATCATATTATTGTAATAGTTAATGTAGTCATACAGAATCTAAATATTTTGTGCGTCATATGAATTCAATACTATGTAAATTAATATTGTATAAATGTTTTTAGTTTTGATTGTAAAAATAAATAATTCATATTACGATAACTTAACGACGTGACATTTACACTCACATACGATCAATATTATATGAATGGAATATTAGCATGAATTATAATTGATTCAATATTAAAGGCATTACCTACATATTTTAATAATTGTGCTCGGCAAAAGTAAAAATCACACAATTTGTTTTTTACATTATAATAATGTAATATATTAGGATATTGTGGTTGATAACTTCTCGTTACTAAAACAGTTTTTTATTTTTTGTAATTTTCATGTCGTAAATTACTAATATTTTCCAAGAAAAAAAATAATGTCGAGCTGAGGCAAACAATAAAATATTAAAAAGCCACCAGCTCAAATTAGGCGTTGGGTATATTCCATGTTAGTGGTAACATGGGATTTAATAGTAATAGTATGATAAATACATATTATATTTATTTATTATTTAATAATTAATAGACTTACACTGTGAAATGAAATGTCAATCCTATATGTGTGCAGATAGTAATGTGGGGAAAATTACGGTTAACTATTTATAGGTACTAATGTACAGTTAATGGTCACCGGTTCAAGAGGTGTCCGAAAATTTGTGTAACAAAATAATTATAATAATTATTATTATTATTCTTGTTCAGATCAAATATGTGCACAATTTGTTTCCAGACTTAGTGATAACCGAAAAAACGAAACACACGTAAAACTGTCGAGTTCAGTGGAAATTGCAACATATTTTTGCTTTTTTTTTACTCCCAAAAATTTATAACCAAACATAAGTGCGATTTCTGATTTTCAATATCACGACAAACTTTTCACATTTTTTGTTCTTTATTTTTTTTTTCTCTCAACGTTGAAAATTAACTGCACGTTTACTTCGGTCGATCGCAAAAACAAAATCGCCTGATATATGTACTCATAATATTGGAAGGTAGGTATTTAGTAGTTTGTATCAACATTTTAATTAGTTTGATAGTTCAGTGAATTTTTTTATCAAATTTTTAGATTAACTTCATAAAATACTATTGTAGTTAAACATCTAGCTTGATAAAATATCCATTTTAATTACACATTTAACTTTTTTCTAGTTTATTTTAAAAATAATTAATTGTGTAAAAATCATGTTTATTTGTTGTATATTTATAATTATATTTAAAACCAATCAATAAATTGTTTTTTGTTTAATAAAATTTTATCATATAATAATCTTACATATAAATAAATAAATAAATATTCCATGATTGGAATTGCACAATCACTTAAAAAACTGTCTGTAACTAAAGTGCTGTACAATAAAAAAAGAATAGTATATGATGCATTTTTAACAAAATATTTAATTATTATTTGAAAAGAAGATTATATAAGATTACATATTAATATGTTATGTTACTGCAGACATTATAAAAATAAATAATTAACTTTTCTTTAATCGAGTTAATTTAAAAATGTTTCACTTTTTAGTTTATAACTTAATATTCTAACTTTATATAACTAATTCAAATCGGTTTTTTTCTTAGCCACCTTTGCTCTATATTAAAAATGCTGGAAATTGCACTGCCAAAAATGGCATGGTCAATTTTTCAATGTTATTTTTTATTTTTATTTTTTACTAAGGATTCCAATCATATGAATAATTTTACCGGATTCCAAGTATTTTTAGTTTATGGTGAATAATAAATTACAATACTATTATGATATAAAACATCAAATATGAAAGTTTTATAAAAAGTTACTTTTCCTACACGACGAAAAAGAAAAAAAAAATAGCAAAATGTAATTTTATTGTACATGTGTTTAGGTATACTTCTTGGTTTTTCAAATATAATTTTTTATTTAATACGTTTTAAGCTTAGTCAAAAAGGATAAATTACAAAAATGTATATTTTTAAACGTATCATTCCGAATCAGATAGTTTTTTATTGTACTTTATTGATAGTTTAAAAATAATAATTAATAGTTTTACAGTAATCATTTGTAAGGGTTAAATAAGAAACATTTTGATGGTAACATAATATTATTATATAGAGTTTTTGGTTTAATTAATGTTACTATAATATACTATAATAAATGGCTAACATAAAATAAAAATATTGTAATTTAATAACCACTCACCATTGTAGTCTTAGTTATAATACTTTTTATGATAACAAATAAAAACAAAAAGCCTATGCTTTCGCGATCAGATAGTTTATTTTTATGATAAAATATAAAGACACCCAGTTCACAAGCCGCCAATAATAACCAATTTCATTATGTTTAAGACTCTTAAAAATTATTTCGTTTTTTATCTTTTTTTCCAAATTTATTAAAATAATTTTAAAATCGTACGTGTAAAGAATGTTGTAAATTGTTGAAGACAATAAATAATGAAAATTTTTAAGAGGTGTGATTGTGAAAATTGATCTAATATTGTAATACTTGTGATTTTTATGAGATGAAAGAAATATTAAGGAATCGATATAATAGGAGGAAAAAGGTTTTTCGTTACGATACATTACTATGAAAATGCCTATGTTTCAACTAATAATAAAATATGTTCATCTTGATCATGTTTTGTATACACATTACATACCCAAGAAAGCGTTACTCATAATACGCTTATTGTTAAGCCATGACTTTCCTTTTCTCTATAAGAATAGTTAATCTTATGAATACTGTTGTACTGCTGAGTATAATTATTATTTCTATGAGTTTGAGTTTAATTTATCGATTAATTTATTTTCATTGTAGCTTGTCCCAAAAATTATTACGGAGAAATGTGTTTACGTATGTGTATGTGCAATGTGACCATGGAAATTTGTAATCATATTAAAGGATGTATAGCATGCAACAGCAGTTTTTCAAGTAAATATGAAAATTTACATATATAATAATAATAATAATTATTTAACTCAAGAAAGTATACATTTTTTTTTTTTAATTACACATAATTATTATAAGTTCTATACACCGCTGAAGAAAAGCTCTTATCGATGGAATGGTGTACTAGTTAAAAAGAAGAAAAAACTTAAGATTAAAATATTCATTTATTAATTGTATAAGGAAGAGAAAAACAAAACAATAAATAATAATAATAAAACAGAAGTTTATGATTTTACATAAAAATGTTTACAGAATAATATAGTCCGTTGAATATAAGAAGAGTATGTGGAATTGGTGGGTTAGGTATTTCTGTTTTTAATGTTTTTATTATCCATAGATTGACATATTTTTTAAAGTTGTTATATGATGGGAATAATTTTTATAAAGTTTTAACCTATTGGAATAAAATTATAATTACATTTCGAGAGCAATCGTTATAATATATGCATTTATTCTTATGAATTCTCAAGTTGTTGATGTTTGATAGTGTTTGTTTGTGGCGTGTGAATATAGTAAAATTAGTTTTATCAAAGTTCAATTTTAAATTATGTTTTAGGAACCAGTTATTAATATATCTTAATCATTTTCTGTGTTAGGAAAGATCCCAGTTTTACCCGTGACTAACAGCACTGTATCATCAGCGTATGATAATATTATTTGTTCGTACAGTTTCATTTGACCTAATGTATTTGTATAATATTGGAGATAAAATTGTTCCTTGTGGAACTTTTTGGGTGATTATTTTTTCTTCGTTAGAGTAGTTATTAATTTTGATTTGTTGTTTTCGTTCATAGAAATATTATAAAAATAATGAAAATGATTTGTCAACTATTCTTATTGAAGATAAAATACTTATTAGTATATTATGAGAAATTCTATCAAAAGCCTTGTTTAGATCTAAAAATATACCAATTATTTTATTTTTATTGTCTTTACTTGAGTATAGTTTTTTCTGTTAAATATGTTAACGCGTGTTCAGTAAAAAGATTTTTTTTAAAACCAAATAGGTTTTTGGGAGAATATAGTTTTCTAGCTTTTTTGAACATTTTAGAAAAAGTATACATGTGTATGTTCTTTTTTGTAGCCTTCTTTGTGTAAGATTGAAATTTTTAATATTTATTGGAAAATTTTTTTTTTTATAATTTGGTTAAATATATTTACTAAGATATCATCAATGTAATTTATAATTATTTTAATTAATTTTATGCTAATGCTTTCTTTTCTTAGTTTCAATATTCTTTTTTTTTTTTACTATTTATAATGTTAATTATTTTATTTTTGTAAAATAAATGATCATTATTTTTATTTGAAGAGAGATGGCTAGTGGCTCTGTTTTTATTATTGTCATTATTACCCATAGATATAAAATAGTCGTTTAGATATTATTATTTAATGCAAGTCTGGGTTATAGGTTGTCCTATTTATTGTTAAATGAAACTTTTGTGCGTTTCTTTGTGTATCAGTGGCTGTTTTTTTAACTGTGGACTAACATTTTTTTGGGTTGTTAGTAAATTTATTTGCATTTTGAAGAGTTTTCATGTAAAAATTGATGAATTTTGTCACGTTTTTATATTGATTTTATAATATTAGGTTTAATTCATCGATTTTTGATATTGGGATTTTACTTTTTATAAGTAATACTTCGTGATATAATTTTATTTATTTTTTATTGTTAAATTTTATATTCTATTATTGGAAAATTTTAGGTATTTTATAATGTTTAAGTCTATTGTTTCTAGTTTATTATTAACTAGATTGTAGTTAATAATGTTGTAATGTCCATCAGAATTGTCATAACTGACTAGGGGAATTGTGTTTGAGTAGTTTAATTGCACAGTTATTGGGTAACGGTAAAATTATAATTGGTATGATATTAAAATGGTTGTGATACTCATAAATAAGAATATTATCTAAGCAGGTGTTTTACTCACAGCATGTAGGTGCATTTATATACGACATAAAGTTGTATGAGAGTTGTGTTTTTATTTTTTATGTTATTACTAATTAGAAGATGTGTTTATTGCATCTAGTAAATAAATTTTAAGATCGCATATTAAAAGAAAATTAGTATATTTGGAATTTTTTGTTATATTTTTTCGTATATTCACTAAATCATCTATGAATTAGGATTTATCACCAGCCGGCGATTGATAAATGGAGATTATTCCGTATTTTTACTATGAAATTCTAGTAGTGTTGGTTGTCAACTATTGATTAAGATATGAATATTTGTAGTATTATGATTTATTTTATTCAGTATTAATATAATAATACATCAGTTTTTCTTATATTATTACTATTACCTATTATTTGATAGTCTAATAAAGAAGTAAGCTGTTGATTGGAATTTTCATCTAGCCACGATTTCTATGATATTATAATGTCACATTTATTATGAAATTCATGAAATAAATAATCTTATTTGAAAAATGTATTGATTTCGTTATGACGAAATATTAAAACGTACATAGATATATACAATTATATAATATATAGCTATAAAAAGTAAGTGAAAGTATGTACAAAAAAGAAAAAATTATATAGTTATAAAAGAGGAAAAAAAGGAAAAAAGCTTATAATATTTTATTTATATCTTTTAGAGTTTTGATTTTGAACATTTTGGAACTTTCATCTTTTTTTATCAGAGTGTTAGCGTTTGAAACTAATTGTATAATTTTTCTATCTTCAATAAATCTAGTTATCACGAGTAGCAATATTTTGGCTGGGGTGAGTCATTCATTAATGTAAATATTGGTACTTTGCCATGTATGATGTATTGAATTTTCCGTTTAATTTTGCCTCTTTATTCTTGGGTATTATTTATGCAAATATTATGTCTTTAGTTTTGATGTTATTATGCTTTTGTTAGAGTTAGGTGTATTTAGTCTGAAGGCTGAAATTATTTTTATATTGCAATTTGTTTTTGGACCAATTTCTTTGATAGGTAATAGCTTGTACAGTCTTAGTTATTTAATTTCTGTCACTGCAGTATTGTTTCCAATATTCAATTGCTCAATATTGTTTAAGTGCTGTAATTTCTTCCGATAATCTTTAATTTTCTATTTTGTTTGTGTCATTTTTTACATTTAATATTTTTAGTTTCTTATGAGTAAGATCGAATTTTTATTGAATTCTTTATATTGAGTGTTCATAAAATTAATTTCTTTGGTAATTTTGCTTAGCTGCTTTTCCATACTGTTCTTCTTTGGGTTTTTACCGTCGTGATCATTTTTTAATGTAATAGGTACATGAGAAGGGGGAGTAAAGATATTAATCTTTATTAGGTATTATTTTTAGTTTTCTAAAATTGAATTTGAAAAAACTTGACAGTAGAAATGTTATGTTTCGTTACATGTGGTATAGATTATTGTGTATTTAATCCGGTAGAGCGTAGTTAAAAATTTATGACACTTCATAGGCATATTGGTGAAATAGTGACAGTTATAATAAAAAAGTAATAAGAATTATTACGCACAACTATGGAAGTGACTTGTTTGTACAGTGGTCTGAATAATATCTATAACTATATAAAGGAATGTGATGAACATTTAATGTCATAAACTCAGATAAATTAATTTTATTGTAATATAAATATTATATCACAAAAATTCGTAAAAAAAAAATTATAATAAAAAAAAAAAAATGTGTATTATCTACGGTATTCAAATTGTTTTTAATTAGTTGATATAGATATTATTTTTTTTTTCTAATAATATTTCATTAATAAATGCTATGAATTAGATAAACACTATTAAAGTATAATTTATTAAATTAAATATCAATGAATCTTTGTATGAATATTTAGTTATTAAAATAATTGTTAAATGTTATTTTTTAGTATCTTATATAATATTATACATATTTGATAATTGATGATATTTTATTACTTGTTTGAAGCAGTTTGTAGGTACATAATACTTGAGCAACAATACAAATAAATCAATCAATTATTGTTATAGATAAATATGTTATTGAAAATGTATCGATTGTAAGATTGAAAATCATATTATATTCATTTTAAATTATTAGATGAAAGCGAATGCATCAACGCCCTTCAGTTACAGCCAACAGACAATGAAGCGATCTGGATTTTTGACATTTTGGTGATTTTGATCTTCTTGATGATTTCAACAATATGCTTGGCGATAATGATGTGCTGCTTTTACTACTTTAATCAACGTAAAATTCAAAGTACGTTTGAAATTTATGACAATAAATGCTTATGTATTTGTTGATTCAAAAAGTTGTATAATCAAGAATCTAAATATAATAATAGAATACCTGGATTGTTTGTCAATATAGTTATTATAATTAACTTATGACCGTAATAATGTTTTCATATCAAATTTCGTCAAATTTACTCGTATTGTTATAAATATAAGTTTTTTCAATCGCATAAGTCTGTAGTTTTGACAAAACTAAAATTATAGTTTTATGTTCTATAGCAGATGTTGTCAAACCACAATATGCGCGTACTGATAGTGGTGTTGGAAATAAATTACATTATTCATAATATTTTTATTATTAATCTTTAAAAATATAATACGGTTGAATTTATATTTTTTCAATAAATAAATAATAGATAAAACGTATCTACTATGCACATTAAAAATGACTATAATTTTTTACTGATTTGTTGCATTACCTTGGTGTAAATCGTTAGTGGTAGGCGACTGATACTTAATAAACTTTAAATATTAAGGATGTCTAATCTACAAACATAATCTATGTTGTAAAAATTTGTTTTGTGTAGTATATAATACAGGGCATGTGAACAATATTGAACTTCAAAAGTCTACCGACATGGGATCAAACCCTAACATTGAAGTGATATGTAATGCTGAAAATTGTGGTATGAACATTGGAAATAATACACTCGATTCGAGATTACCAATGACCAGCTATACGAACAAAACATTTTACGACAATTATGCACGTGACCACAGTTTTGATGATGATACCGGTGAAAACTTGTACTTGGAAATTGACGAAAGTACTTTCAAACGTTCAGGTATATAAATTGGGTATAATAAACGAATGCATGCCGACAAATATTTACTTTCCAAAGTAGTTAACCATTGTGTTTATTAAGGATCTGTTAATTTATTTATGAGCTAATATTTAATGTCGAGAACGAAACTTGAAAAGAAAATGTAATTCAAACAATACCCATACTTTTGATTACAAACATAATAATATTATGTTTATTTATACAGTTTAAATTAAAGGAGGCATAAAGTCCGAGTAATAAGGAGAGGGAGGGGTAGCGGTTGATAAATGGTTTTCAGTCATTCGTTTCAATGATGATTTTTTTTCATATACTTTTGTTGTTTTAATATTATGAGGAATTTATAAATATTTTGAAAGTAATTAATATCACACTAAATATATACTGATGTAAAATAATTCTGTGCGAAAAAAAAGAGAACTTGTAGTTAAAAATATAATGTTATTAATTTTGCCGTGTTTTCTTACAGAAGATATGTACGATCATCTAGATTTCCTACGTCCAACAGTATCATGGAAGCCGCATTATCAGTGTACATTGGTGTTGCAAGATCAAAGCAGTAGTAGTTCGAAGAAAGAAGATACGACATAATGTATTTACTTATCTTATATAATAACGTTTGCTTAATTATTACATTTATATTATTATTATTATAGACACCATAGGGTTATTTTATATATTGTTAATATACACAGCAATAAAAACGTAAGCATTACAAAAAAATAATACATTTTTCGTAGATTTAAATAAAATATTTTTAGTACGGTTAATGGTTTATACTTCCTGCGAAATAATTCAAAACGATTGTATTTATTTTAAAGAAATGTCAAACGTAAATTGTGGAAATGACGAAAATAATTGAATGATGATAGTAACAACATTATTCAATAATTTCCGTTGGTAATCTTTCTGAAAACAATTTGCCACACATCAATGTGAGATTAAATTTTTACGTGCGATCATAAATAATATTATTAAAGTATTTATAACTCAGTTTGTATTGTTGAACTTTTGATTTTTATGTACTCCTATTCAGTTGAGTGTGGATGGCTTAATCTTTTTATTTCTATTTTTCTTGACCGTTTAGGGTTGATTATTTTTGGACGTCTCTTGATCGGAGCTATTGACTTGGGTTCCTGATCCACCGACAACCGATTCCTGTGTTTCGATTAAATTCACGGAATGCGAACCGGTCATTGTGGGCATACTACCTTTGGTCGCTGTCATAGAAGTCATATTTTCAATTTTCTCAGCTACTGGTTTATTTCCATCGGCAGCTAGTTTGGTTTCTGCGGTGGCCGTTTTCGTTTCCTCGGAAGCGGCAGGTTTAATTTCATCGACAGCCACTTTATTTTCTTTAGTGGCATGTTTGTTTTCTTCTGCGATGGATTTTATTTCTTTAACGGCAGCCGGTGTATTTTCTTTAGTTGCTATATTCGCGGCAGACGGTACTTTATTGTTGCTGGCGATCAGCTCAGCTGGTCCAGGTTTTTCATCCGAAAGATTATTAGTCACCTCCGCTACTACGGGTCGTTTTTCTTTGGATGCTTCCATTTTGGCAAAAGTAACAATATCTTCTTGTTTGGTTTCTTCGGTTTTTATACCGTTCACTGACTGTTTTTCTTCGCTCGACTTTATCTCGTTATTTTTGTAATTACTATCTTCGGTCTTGGCGTTCAGTCCATCGTCAATCTTGTAGGCTTTAAGGTCGCTCTTGGCTGACTTCGGTGTTATCCAGTTGGATATCACGTTTTCATATTTTTCCTTCCAAATGATCTTCTGTCTGAGTATCTCTTCTTCGAAATGCAAGACTTCCAATAATGTTGGGTTTCGGTTTTCGACGGTGTTGCCGAAATATTTTTCATTAAAGCTCTGTAATATTTCGAGATCCGCTAAGCTATTTAAAGCTCGAATTCCTGCATGTAACATCGTACTCAATAACCCAACATTAGTATCTGCATATCTAATTTATACATTACATAAATGATCACTTGTTTTTTAAATGCAACATTAAACTTACTCCTGATGTAACGTTTCCCAGTTGTTTCTCAAGTAATTGAATGGGTATTGACCCGCCGTTGGATTATCTAAAATCGATTGCCAAATGTCGGCCAAGTCGTCGAATTTCACTTCTTCCGCGGATAATATTCTGTAATGTTTTATAATATAAAATGTATGTAATAATATGTTTATTTTTAGGTTAGGTTAATTTTTATCCGAATGTACTTTTGTAAAAATTGTGAATTTCGTGAACACGAAAAACTTTTGGCTATTGATTTTCTATCTAGCGTCCACTTGGAACTTATGTATTTACTCAACATAAATCTATGGTCGTACTTGGTGGCATATTGCATGGCAGTACAGTAAACGGATTTACGATCGTTCGGTGCGATACTGTAAAGGAAATTAACAAGTTAGTGCGGTACCTCTACATGAATCATTTAGTAAACACAAAAGTTTCTTAAAGAAAATTAAGTTTATAGTTTGAATATAATGAATATAACATGTGTGTGTGTGTGTGTGTGTGTGTGTGTGTGTGTATGTGCTGTGTTTATATTATGCTGTAGATATTATATTAACTTATAAATTACAACACATCCGAATGAACTCATCATTAATAACTTACATTTAAAACGATTCGCGCACATTCGTTTAACTCAAAATATTTATGGTAGTTTATATACATTTTATCGGTAATTGTTATTATTGCCTATATTTAATAAACTCGAATCATTTTGAAATAGATTTATTAAAAAATTATATTTTTATGTGATTTTAGTTGTTCAGTAAATAGTTACACAATTTAAATATATTTATAAATTAAGTTTAATATTTACAAATCGTAAATATTGAAAATCTATAGCTATTTGACTAAAATAAAACAAATTGCATAAGCAATAAATATAGATTCTAATAAATTTATATTAATTATGCTTCTGAGAAATTCAAAAACATAATATTTGATGAAAAACATTATAAACATATATATGTATAATATTAAAACATTAAAATAACAAACTAACTTTTCATTAATTATTAATATTATAAATTAAATTAATTTTGTTTTTATTTTTCATCTTAGTTGATTTTATCTCAAATGTTTTAAAAAAAGTTAAACATTTTTTACTCTACCCTTAGTCTAAATTTATCTCTATTAGACTCTATTTGTTTATATGCTTATGGATTGTAAACTTTTCGTTTAATTTGTTTACTTTTTTTATTTGCGTGACATTATAGTTAATTTTGAAAAAAAAATTTAATTTATGATATCAATTTTTCGCATTTTAAGTCTTAATAATGTTCAACTCCTAAGGCACTTTTGTAAAATTAAAAACGAAGCTTCTTTCTCATTTAAAATATAAAGTAAGACTGAATTTAAAAAAATATTAATAACAGCGTTTGTCAAATATTTGTAATTTCTTGCAACGTGTTATGTCGTTTGGATAAAAATTTTTAAAATAAAGCGCTATAGGATTAGAATAGTAAATACTAAATATATCAACCACGTTATTTGACAATATTTTAATACAATTAGATAACGGTTAATACTATTAAAATAATTTGAAGGAAGACAACAAGCAGTTACTTCATTTTTATTTTTTTTATTAGTTTAAAAATATTCGTCTATCATTGTAAAAAAGAAACCGGGAAAACGATCTTATTTCGTGATTTATTACATTTTTATTTTTAATCTTATATTAATATTATATATACATATATACTATTATATAGTGTGTCATAGTTTAGAAAAACATGAAAAAATGATCCATTATTCACTTATTTTAGAGTGAATCGCGCATGGTATTATTTAGCTGACCTATAAACAGTATAAACAGTCGTGAAAACACAGACTATTCATTTTATATAGAGGTTAAAGAAAATAAAATGCGAAAAACACTCTGAAATTCATAGACTAATATCCATCGATCACCAATTAAGTTTTAGATTTCCATGATTTAATACATTTAAAATCAATTTGAAATATTTTAAAAAGAGACGCATTATTTTTTTTTTATTTACTAACGATGGTTAATTATAATGGTAATAATAATGAACATATAATTACGGATTTATTTCAGTTGTAGTCTGCTTCCAGTTATTGAACTGTTCTCTAGCCCACCAGACACATTTTTTTAATTCAACATGTCCAGCAAAATATGACGTATCCATTTTGCCTATTATTTTGTCCGGTGAATCGATTGCACTGGCTTGAAACATATCATATGCCTTCTCAACTACCATTTCCATATAAATCTTCAGGTATAAATATTGAATTTAAATAAGTATAAAAATTTAGAAAAGTTTACTGAAATATTCTATTAATCACTAATCAGTAAGAGGTTAAAATACAAATTTAATTTATTTTAATTCACTGGTTAGCAGGAAAAAAAATATTTGCTCTTTACATTTAAATTAAATTTTTCTAAATACCTAAGTAAATATTCAATATTCGAAAATACATTTTATCAGTACTAGACTATCGTTGCTTTAGTTATAAATAATAAAATTACAAAGCTAGAATAATATTATATTAATCTTTAAAAGAAACAGTCTTTTGTGAAATATTTGAAGCTTAAAAAATTGATTTGTATTATTAATTTTCCTAAAATTGTATAAGCATTTATTGCCTTTGTTTTGAACTACCAATATGATTGGCGTTTACATCATTGTAAATAAACGATTCTAAGCGCGTCTAGAATTAGTATTAACTAAAATATTATAGGCGTATACTGTAAGCAAACTATATATCGTTTAATGCACACATAATTTTATTGAGTACTGGTCACAACTTAATCTTGACATGTATCAACGAATTTAATTCTTGGTTTACTAATAATTAATGACATTCACGTAAAATATTTTAATATAAATAACTCGCTTTAAAATAATTATATTAAGCATTTTAAATACAAGTCGATGCATTAAATGTCATATAAATTCTATAACGGTTCTAGTATGGCTTGTTTTGCATACTGCAAAATTGTCGTTTATAGCAAGTAGCCTATTAATTATCGAATTATTATGACATGTAGATATATTTTCATCATTGCATGAATATAATATTATTAAATACGTACTGAAAGAGAATCGTAATGTTTAGTGTTGTGCAACACGGCTTCTATTTTATTAAATGCATTAAAAATTGCATTCCAGTACCCGGAATTCGGACCTGCTTTTTGAATAACCCTTTCTAAGAATCCTAAAGTGTCGCTGAATCCGATAACACCAGCAAAGGCTCCTTCAAAAATGTCACCAACTAATTGTGCCACGACGTACTCGTCAAATGATTTACCATTGCTAATCTCGTAAGATATTCTATCTAAGAGAGTATCTTCGTATACCACCCTGTAGTAACCTGAAATACGAATAATGATTGAATTATAATAAAAAAAATGCTGAAGATATGCAACTAAAATGTGTCAATTATTGCGGTTATTAGTTATTGTAACATGAGTTCAATTACATATCAGCTTCATTATATTTTTACTCAATTTTTATTGATTTTTAATCATGTTAATGGTATAAATTATATATTTTAATTATCATTCAGTTGTCTCCAATTATTAATTAATCTTTGCTTAATTTTTTTTTTTTTTACAAACAAATCAAATTGAATATTATACAATCAACATCAAACAAAATATGATAAAAAAATAAATCCATCTACAATTTTTATTTAACCTACTGTTGAAACATTAGGAGTTTGAGGTGCATGTTTTATTTAA